CCGGGACCAACGGCTTAACGTGCCTTCCGAAGAACGGAGGAGTTCGAGATAGTAATTTTTAGTCACCCATCCAATGACCGACCACTGCGAAAGTTGCTTAAGTTCAACGATCGCAGCCGAACGCGCTAACCACTTGCGCCGTCGAGCTCAGGACAAGGTGAGGAGATATAATAAGCATTTATGAAAAAATCAAAACTTAAAGGCATAGTATAACTAGTTGTTGCCTAGTGTAAAATTTCTTTTACAACTATCTAATTTTCGAGGAGGGAATCGTCGAGAGCCAAACAACCAAATTTTGCAATTTTTATACGCTATTTTCAGTGATAATTACTGTCGTCCTATCGCATGATATTTGCCAATGCAAGACAGCAATAGTTTTTTTCAAATACCTATTGCTCAAATGTCTCTCAGCTTGCATATGTACCCCTAGCACGAACCATTATCGAATTCGAATAGTTTGCAGACAGAAATGTCAATGTTAAATTTTGTATGGAAACTTGAACAGCAGCGGCACAAAGTACGTAAAGGGGCCCATATACGGAACGATTGATCTGTACGATCCATCGTTTCAGACCGATCGAAACGATGGATCGACAGTGTATGTCAAGATCGTTAACGATTTACTTAATCGCAGACGATATCGGAGATCGCAACAAAAACCCATGCAATCATGAATATCGTAAACGATCGATCGTCAGTGTCCCATATACGGTACGATTGATCTGTACGATCCGTCCTTTCAGACCGATCGAAACGATGGATCGACAGTGTATGACAAGATCGTTAACGATTTACTTAATCTTTATCGAAGACGATATCGCAAATTGCAACGAAATCTCATGCAATCATGAATATCGTTCATGCAATCATGAGTTCGTTTTCCATTTTAGAGGGCAAGTATTGAATAATTTGAGTACGTCTTTATCCTACCGTTTGAAACAAGTAAATGATAGATCGTTACGATCAATCGTTTCGTGTATGTAGTGGCATTTCTGAACGATCGATCGTTGACGATTTCTTTCAGATCGATCGCAACGACGAATCGTTCCGTATATGGGGCTCTTAACGAGAACTAAACATCAGTACACATTTGACAATTTCGTTTTGGCAAACTATTCGAATTCGATAATGGTTCGTGCTAGGGGTACTGCCATTAATATGGAGGTTCCGCCCGTCAGAAATAAATCAAATAGGTCTCCTTTCATTAAGGATTTTATGAAAACTTTCGCTATAAAGTTTTCTTTATAGAAATACATATTTGTGAAAATTTCAGCTACTAATTAATTAGTTAATATCTAAATAAGCATATTTGACATTATTAACTATTGAATTATTATTACTTCTAAAAATTATTGAATATTATGGTACATGGTGTCTTTAATTAAGGTCTGAATTGCTTGTTCGTTTCTTGTAATTTATTGATTGACATTTGAAATATTGTGTGACATTGTTGTAGCCTCAGGTGTAGTTTATTTGTCTAATAGCTGATTTCTCGAACACTGGATAAAATTAATCTGTTTTGATTATGGTCTGAATTGCTTGTTCGAACTTGTAATTTTTGTTTGACATTTGAAATATTGTGTGACATTGTTGTAGTCTCAGTTGTAGTTTATTCGTCAAATAGCTGATTTCTCGAACACTGGATAAAATTTATCTGCTTGATATGATATTATACAGACAAAATAAAGAGTTAGGTTATGTCTAACTTAAGTAAAGATTGTCAATTTTTACATGCCAGAAACGGCAAAATGTGGAATGCTAATTATTCATAATCATAATCATGTATTCAGTTTAGGCTGTTACAAGCACTCATGAATGTCTAGAAGCTACGCCATCGGTTCGTAAATCTACGGCGGGAGACCTTGTACTGAGAGGAACCGGCAAGAAACTCAGCAAGGGCTGTTTTTTTCTAAATAGATAAGACTTTATTCGCACCAACATTCACACATACATAATTGACAAGACAAATCTTAGATTAGATCAATCCTTTAAAAAGTCAACAAATTATATTTAAGCAACTATACTATGATATTTTCGTGTGCAGCAGCGATGCGAATGGGTGAAAACTCAGCGAAACATTTACTCAGAGAGTAAATCGCTGATTTTCAGTTTTTCAGTACAAGGTGTACTGAGAGGAACCGGCAAGAAACTCAGCAAGGGCTGTTTTTTTCTCCCTGTTTTATTATTTATTATTTGCAGAGACGTCAAATTGAAAAATGACTTCAGAGATGATTCATGAAGTCACCTTACATTACATAATGATTTAATATACATTAATTGTTTACCTGTATTTTGATTGATGTGTCATACAGTATAAATACAAATTTCATGTTTCAAGTTTCATGACGATTATTGACTGAACATCTGTAAAATACCACATTTATGGCAAATAAAAATATTATATTTTATTAATTATAACACTAATACCACTCGACGGCAAATAAACCGGGTAACCCACTAGTGCCTCAGAGGTGTGATTGTATTTTCTCAAAAAATTAAAAAATTGTATCCACGGACCGCACATCTGAAGTGAAACTTCTTTTTTTTAAATAACTTAATAAGCGGTGCATAAGGCATAAGGGAATGGAGCATCGCACGCATCACTCATATATATGTCATCATCATCATCAGCCTATTAATGACCCCACTGCTGGGGCACAGGCCTTCCCTATATATGAATTAGGAAGATTGGGCCATGACCCACCACGCGGGCCCAGTGCGGGTTGGTGGGTGCTAACGACTGCAGTTGCAGCCGGGACCAACGGCTTTTTTAATTTTGACTTTTGAAACTATGACTTAATGACCATTGATAAAGAGTTGATAGTTTGATGGTTTTGGTTGCACAAAGTGGCAACATTTCACAGATGAAGACTCTTTCTCACTGCACAACACAATTAAGTTGCTTAAACTTAAATTACCAATAACTTAAAAACTATGCTATTTAAACTGCTACTTTCGTTGTACGATATGTTTAATAAGAGCTATAGAAGTATTATTCAAAGTTAATGTATATCCTCAAGAACACGGTGTATATAGAGTCGTGTGACGCTCGTTACGCATTTCCGTTTCATCTTTTCCCTAGGATTTTTCCATTTACACTCAGACCGGAAACAAGTTTAACTTCAAAAACCTACAAACATCAAAGCTTATATCTACTGACCGTGCGTTTTATGACGATTAAAAAGACAAACACCGAAGTTCATTTGACATTGTGGGTTATCTTCAATGCGAAGAGATGGCGCTGTCTTACAGCTTAAGAAAGGCTAGAAAGTATGCGACATGACCATCAGGGCCGCAGTAGCATAATAAATAAATAAATAAATATTTCCAACACTCACACCAATTAGCCTAGCCCCAAAGTAAGCACTGTAAGGCTTGTGTTATGGGATACTAGGGTAACGGATAGAATACATATACTGTACATATATAAGTATAATTTTATGTAGAAATACATATTAAACATCCATGACTGGAGTACAAATGCTCGTCTTCATCACACAAACATCTGCCCCCACCAGGATCCGAACCCGGGACCTCTCAAGTCGGCGACACCATTAAACCCGGCGTACAAACCACTCGGCCACGGAGGTCGTCAAATGGTCAGTGCATTCGCGTAATGGTCAGTGCATTCGCGTGATAGCGAAGGGCGCGGGCTCGAGTCCCGTCTGCTGCCTGGTCCGCGTGGATTTTTTTCTAATAATATTGTCTTTAGATTAAAACATCGAGCAGTTACATATTACCAAAGTTCTGTCAACTTTGTATTCAAGCAAGAAACATAACGATAACAATTTGCCAATATCTTAATAAAGTTGCGATTATTGTTCTTTAAAATGAAGACAGTTTGATAGGTTTGTCCCATTCGGTGTCGAGACCCTTGGTCCGTGGGGTCCTAGCGCTGTAAGGCTTTTTAAAGAAATAGCAAAAAGATGAAAGTCGACATCACAGGAGACCGAAGAGCTGGCAGCTACCTCGGACAAAGAATTAGTCTAGCTATCCAAAGGGGGAACGCTGCCAGTATCTTCGGAACCTTGCCTAAAGGGACTCCTTGTAATAATGTATTTTAGTTATTATATTTTAGTTTTTTAGGTTTTTAGTTTTAGGTTCATTGTTATAATATATATTTTTTTTAAGCTAGTATTAGATAATAGTATATTTAATTAATAAAATAATGACATAGATCTGCAGTTTGATAGTTTATTTATTTCTTTGGCTAATGTCCATCCTTTTTTTATAATATGTGTGTATTTTTTCTGATTAATTAACACAACTGGCAAACGACTCTTCTTTGGAAAATTCTAAACAATCACATTATAAATTGATGAATCTCAATTTTTGTACAAATGTTTGTCATATTTAAAATTACAGTGGACACCGTGTATGTAAGGATGTAACTTTTAATATATGATAAACAAACATTTGTAAAGTCGTTGACTTTTTACAATAAAGAAGTCAACGATTTTTTTTAGGTCCCGTGTATGTAAAATTGAAATATGATAAACGTTTGTAAAAACTCAACGAATTGCCAAATATCAAACAAATTATGAAAAACGCAAAACCAATAAACCTACATTGTTTGCACCGGCAAACTTATTTTGGTTATTCAAACGAAAACTTTTAATTAGACAAGTAAAATTATAGTCTTTTTTAAAGCGAATAATTTCTAGCATTTCCGTAAGTATAGTGCAATATGTATCATATTTATATATATAGGTAATTAAAGGTGTTTATTTTAATGCGTAATTTTTATATAATTGAAAATTTTTGGCCAATTTCCTAAACCTATAGTCCTATAATGTTTTTTAGCTTTTGTAAACATGACATAAATATATAATTATTCATTTCTACTTTACACTTTTTTAATGGAATCGGAAATGCCAAACGGAAACGGAAACCTAAGAATTAAATAGTCATATTTACATTTATGAAAAACGCTAATTTTCCACAACATTTCACTGAGAACAAAATCCAAAAAAAAAAAAAAACAAAAACATAAGACTTACCAAAATATCGGGAAACGTCCTTATAGTACCCGCTGCCTGGTGGAATTCCAAAAATAATAACAATATAGATAATAAATCAACAGCACTGAATCATTTTAGTGTCGGCACCGCACCACGACTCGGCTTTCACTGAGTATTCACGTAACAATCGCCCAAGAAGTATGGTGTGAACACACGGCTCGTAATTGCGGATGCGCCCGCTGGCGGTTGAGAAATGAGACCGCTTAGGCCGAAATTTTTACCATCACTCTGCAAAGTTTGTGGGTTGGCGTAGCCAGAGATCTTTCCTAGGAGGGGGCGGGCAGCTGTTCATTATGAAATTTATTTATAAAATGCAAATACTTTTTCTACACTGGAATTTATTCCAGCCATGCCCATATTTATATGTAGATTAAGTATTTTGGTTCTTACTGATAGAACATAATGGAATACTAGGGGGTGACGATGAATTTGTCTGTGCAGCTGAAGGAGCATACCTTCAATGGAACTAATCCAAAGGACAATGGCGAAATATTTGTTGAAGGAAAACTTTAGCGTCTAAAAATATCAGGATATATCAGGATGGATTGAAAATTAAATAATAATAGGTCGTCTAAGTCTGGAATTAAAAATAAAAAAGGGAAACACAATTTAGTAATTAATATTTTTTTTACTGTGGCTTAGCGTCATGACTTTTGAGGCTGAACTTCAAGTTCTTTATAATTTTAGATACAATTCATTTTTAGACGCAAAAAAAATTGTAAAATAAAATGTATGGGAGTTCGAAATTGTCCTTTCGAATTCTAAATTTAACCAAAGCTTTGTCGCACAGTTGTGGGAGAAGCAAAATATGTGATGGGTACCAGCGCTACACCAGGTCAGGATTGGGAGTCAGGTCAGCATGGCGATTAGCAGCAGCAAATAAACAGCGCCAAAGGAACATAACAAAAAGCATTATAAAACATAAGGAACTAGCGAACAAAACGGTATAATTACGTCTATGGTCAAAATACTTTTTTTACAGTCCAGAGGTTTTGGGCCCGCTGAATTTGAATTTCAACTCATTTTCAATCAAAACCTGCCTAAAATAGTGTCAAAATTACTAAATTAATAAATTAAAAACCACTCCATAAGCTTACTGTAGGTATGTAATTCAGTTTCTTACTGCTCCTGTAAACTTAAATTTTATGTAATTATACTGTTTTGTTCGCCAGCTCTTCATATGTCAAATACCAACTTGATACCAAGTGTATTTTTTATGTTAAAAGGATTGCAATCAAGCATATGGCCTGCCTGATCCCATAGTCTATATACGCTTGCGATATCAAAAATATCACTCACGCTGTTGCCTTCCCTGACCCAATCCCCTACCCCGTGGAGCCGTGTGTGTATGAGAATAATCTAGCCAGGGGGTTGCGTAATATGATAAGTTTTACTATTCAAAGTGCCATAGACTAACACAACAAAATTTTAATAAGGCAAGTACATTATGCGTATTATGACGCCATTACAATAATAATACTTTGCGGTCTCAGTAAAACACCAAATGTGCGTTAAGTTAAAATTGTATTCACGTCACGTAACGTCAATGCAAATTACTGAAAAAATTATAACATAGTCATAACCAAGGTTCCATAACAGTGGGCCTAAGACTGAACCTTGTGGAACCCCTCTCGCCATTTCCCTTTTAAGTAAGATACTGGTGTCAATTCTGGCACGATTCTCTAAATCTAAACTTAAATTTGACAACAGTGTTTCCTTGTCATTCTCTATACAGAATGAAAAAGAGAGACTGATGTTAAATTTAGTTTTAAGTTTAGAGACTCACGCCAGAATCGACACCAATATCTTGTCTAATAAACAAAATTCGTCTATCCATTGGGTATAATCTGCACTGACCCTCTGAATGTATTGAGGCACCCGATGGTATTTGAGCGCCTCCTTTATACACCCGAAGAGGAGTGTGTTAAAGGCTTTGGCAAAATCCAGAGACAGACAGAGACCCTTAACTAGTTTTCCTAGTTCCATCAAAATTCTACGTTCTATCACATCACCATTATCTTACACAACAGCTGTGTTAAGACCAAATTAGTTTATAAAATAATAAAATTACCTATTCAAGCCATCACATAAAAAATATGTATACTTTTCGGCGGTTTTTTCTCAACCGTAACAGTCACTGTATTTTCAGTGCTCAAACTTATACAATAAAGCACAGAACCCTTTATTAGCGAATGCAATTCTTACTTAAACATTTTGATAGATAAGATGCCTGCTAGGTCCAAAGATCAAAGTCTGCCTCATAAAGAGATTCAACTTTCTCTATTGCCACTACGCGTTCAAGATAAGGACTTTGTGTAATGCGTGTGTGAACTCGACTTTGGTTTAGGTAACGTTTACTTAGTCCAACATAATCCTGAAGAGAAAACATACTGGAGTTTATTGCTTATATGACCGCTTGTTCTAGTTGTGTCTTGCGCAGTGGAACATTTATTTGTTTACTAGTGGTCCGCTCTCGCTTCGCTTCCGTGAATACTATAGTTTTTGTTTTCGGGCAAGGCTTGGAGACGGCGAGATCTTAAGAGGACCTCAAGGGGAGAATTGGCGAGTTCCTCTAGAGGTATTCCAGGCGGATGGCATCTCCGCACGATGGAAGTCTAATATCCTTCTGGGCCTGAGCTTCTATACCCTGGGTTCCGAACCGGGGGGTAATTACCCCTCCAGGGGTAAATCAGCCATACTTCGGGGGTAACAAAGAACCTAATTATTTGATCAAATCTAAATAATAAGAAAATACTATATAATAATACTACTAAATGCGCTCCTTCTTGTAGCGAGCCCGCGGGGTGCTGAGTGTGGGAAGCGGGGCGAGATTTTCTCCTGATGATGACATTATTAGAGACGAAGATGTAGCGGCCAAATTGGAATTTCATGGACTGATGATAACATTATAAAGTGGGGGTAAAATCTGTTTTCCTAATAGGTTACAGGGGTAGCAGTATTGGAAAGGTTAGGAAACACTGTTCTAGACCATTCGAACCTGAGGGGTCAGCTCAACTAGAAGGCGTCTTTGAGAGAGGGACCTACGATTGGAGGACGGGAGGGCGGAAGTGTGATAACTAGAGGCTTGGATTACTGAGGGGTTCGGATGACGCGCGGCTTTATCGAAGTAACTTCTCGAGGCATCCTTCATATACTTTGCGATGCAGCTAACTTATCGGATTTTTGTCACCTTAAAGCACTCTTTCTTTTGCTGAAAACTGCATTAAACTCAGCAGTGCTATACTGTAAGAGTAAACTAACTTTCTATACTAACTTCACTGCACATTTGAAGAATTTCAAATAAATTTCAAATCACACCGCGGCTTCCGCAGTTATAAATCCACCTCGTTCTCTCGTCTAGGGTCTGAAAATCATATGCAATTGCCCGATTTGTTTAGAAGTATTTTGTTTGTGTCCATTAGTGTTTCTTTGTTTAGAAATAAGGAACCTGCTTATTTCGCCCAGAAACTTACACACTTAGGCAGACGTCCTACCGCCGGCGAGTAAGCGACTAATTTTCGACTATTTTCTCGCTCAAGAAACGTACCACAGTTATACATTCCGTGTGAACAAAACAGATGCATATATTCATGTTGATCGCTTGCTGTTCACACTGCCGACGAGAACTCGCTGCACTAACTAGTCGCTGAGCGACAAGAGCTATCAAAGAAAATACTCGCTCAGAGATGCTCGATAGTCATCAAAACGCTCAGGTTCAATTTTTTTCAGGACTGTCACAGGACTTTATTGTATAAGCGAACACAAAGATCTTTAAATGAATTATTAATTTTGTGAAGCCTAGTCGCAGGTAAAGTTAGTTTATTTTTGTTTCTTATATTAAGTGTGTATATATTTTTTCTTACAAGTAATAAATTTTCGTATTATACTGTGATGCGACCGTCATCATTCCAAATTCTTTAAATTTATCTCTTAATGATTCTTTAACTTTAAGATTATAAATTGATCGAATGGCTCTCTTCTGCAGCACAAAAATAGTTTTAATGTCGGCGGCATTTCCCCACAATAAAATTCCGTACCACATTACACTATGGAAATAACTAAAACATTTTGAGTGCACATTTATGCGTTTTTTCAGCCTTTCATGTAATCCACAACCTTCTGAGAACACTCCGTAACCCACCACGCATGTGAGTGCTAACAGCTACACGTTAAGTCTAGTCTAACAGTTTAAGGAATGGAGGAGCTATGAATAGCAAACTTTTGGTCACCCATCCAATGACCGACATTAGAGAAAGTCACGCCACAGTCACGTAGTCGTCGTGTGAATGAAACAGTTTTGTAATATCCGTTTAAATTAGCCATTATGATATAAAAAACTGGTTTATTTACATTGCAAAATCCGGATGTCAAGATGTTGCGAATTTTCGCAGTTAACCGCTCTACAGTATGTCAAAGAGATGTAACAGTTTTAAACAGGGGCAAGGCTTACCGGATCTCGATTCGCCTCATCATCCGGGTTTGATATTTATAAACTAACTAGCTGACTCGGCGAACTTCGTACCGCCCAAAAGTAATAATTTGCAATAAATTAAAATTGCGACTATAATTTGAGATTTAAACTATCCTATCTCTCAAGTTGGATCGAACTGCACATGGTGTGCGAATTTTATTATAATCGGTTCAGTGGTTTAGGAGTCCATTGAGGACAAACATTGTGACACGAGATTTATATATATTAAGATTTTTTGGAGTTTACTCCTTAAGAATCGATTTGCATATATAAGGGGCCCGGTATGAGAAAAATGTGAGGAGTAAAATCTATCGATGAATGACCTCGTTACGTTTTTGGTGCGCATCCTATGTCGCGCAACTTTGACAAACAAAGATGACGGATAGACATTAATAAATTTTTTAAAATCTGAACTGAATTTAGATATTGTTTAAATAATTTTCATGTACTATTTATTATTGTACGTAAAAGATTTAGTGACATAATTATCTTTTTATAACCATTTTTGTTAATTATTAAGATAATATTATATTTTAAATAAAAAAATAATTATATGTAAACTCCAGTCGTGAGTCGGAGCTGACACACACAATTTTTTTAAGCATGTAACTGCTCTATGTTAAATCTAATGAAAATATCACTAGAAAAGATTCCACGCGCACCAGGCTGGCAGGTTTTTGTCTAGTAATATTTTTT